AATTAGCCATACTGGAATTTACTTTTGTCTTTTTTTGCCCTTTAACAATTCGGAGCAGCAAATGTTGCTGGTATTTTAATTGCGTTTTTCTCTATGTGGAATATAATTGGGATATAGAATATAATTTTGGCCGTCATAAACCTCTTTTTCGCGTAATTGCAAAATACCTTTTTCATTGTCAACATACACAAATGACTATATTGTATTTCTTTTTAATTTTAAATTGTGATACTAAGATGATTGAATGGTTATTCAGATGCTATCGAAAGTATTTAGACGAGTAATATATATATTTTTAAGTATTCAAACAGTCAGAATTCACATAATCAATTGACTGTGTGATTAATCTGTCTCTGACCCCTTTTGTGTAATTGTCTGTTAAGGGCTAATGGGGGACATCCGTCAGTCGTTGTTGCCTCGGGATGTGCTGAGTGCAGCCAAGGAGCTGTTGTACCACCTGGACATCTACATCTGCAACATGGTGCAGTCTGGGAGGCAGCCTCCTCAGGTCGACTCCAAAACATTGGAGTTAGTGGAGGAGTTCATTCTGCATGCACCGAAAGACAGAAACACCCCCGGCAAGGTAAAGGAAAAAGCTTGACACGCATGAGCACAAATACACACAGATACACAACAAAGGTGGAAAATGACTACTTTTCCTTTCTTACAGAGAATGAGTGCTCTCCAAGAGCTTCAGCTTCTGGAAATCATGTGTAGCTGCTTCCAGGAGCAGAGTCGCGACAGCGTCCGTCTGCTCATGTTCTCCGCACTCTTCAGCCTCCAGGGCAACCAGGCAGATGAAAACCGCATGATGTTGTTGGGCAAGTTGGTCTCCATGGCTGTGGCTGTGGGCAGAATTCCCATCTTGGAATGTGCTGCAACCTGGCTACAGGTGAGGATCGAAACGTCTGTGCGCTTTTTCAGTTGTGACATAGGATCTAGAGTTGTGCTCTCGAAAAATGTATGATTTCTTGTCTATTTTTCAGAGCACATAAATGATAACAAAACTTTTCTTTCATTTGTGGTTGAGGGTTTAGTGAAGCCATTTATTATTGAAAACATATCAAAACATGTTTTTGCAGTTGAATATTATTCATGCAAGTTACAGATATTGTACATTACTCTGTGTAATTAAAAAAAACAATTTAATTTATCAGGTTAAGAAACTCAGCCGCACTTTATCGAATGCTTTTAAAGCTTCCTCAGGCCATACAAAATGACTTGACAGCCCACATTTGGCCCCCGGCCCTTGAGTTTGACATATGTGCCCTAGGTCTTAAAAATTCAGAATAGAACAATTTCAAAATACTTTCATAATACTCCCAACTGAAAGTGGGTTACTGTCCAATCTGGAATTCTGATATTAGGAATGTGTGTCTAACGATAGAAACGTGCTTGTGGTCCGCAGAGAACGCACCGTGTCTTCTGCGTACGTCTGGCGCAGGTGCTGGTGGATGACTACTGCAGTATGGTGCCAGGCTCAATCCCCACACTGCAAAATATCAACGTTGCGAGTCCACGATTTTGCTGCCAGTTCATCACAGCTGTCACCACTCTGTATGACTACACATCAGGTACTTTTGCTTTATGACACAAATAAGAGTACAGTGTACGTCCACACCTGCAAGTGAGTAAATTGTTGGTCATGTGTGATAGATGGAGTGTTCGTGTGAACTAAGATAAATGACATGTAAAAGTCATCCATAAAGGCTAAAATGCTTTTTATCATTTTCTAC